ATCTTCCTGATTGCAGTAGACTGGATAATGCGACAGACAACGGGAAGTGAGGAAACAGGCATAAAATGGACTCACACAAAAAAGGACTTGGATGATCTGGACTTCGCCGATGATATATATCTGATTTCCTACAAACTGGATGATATGCAAGTGAAAAGTAACAAGCTGGCAGAAGAAGCATCAAAGATAGGACTTCGAGTGAACATAGATAAAACAGAGGTGATGAAGATTCCTGGCCAACACCAGCAACAACAGACGACAGTCAGCCTAAATGGGAGGAACCTGAAAGAAACAACCTCCTTCACCTACCTACTTGGAAAGCATCGTTTCAACTACAGGCAGACAGAACTGACGAGGATATCAAAGCCAGAATCGGAAAAGCAAGACAAGCTTTCATTACTCTCAAGTCTGTGTGGAGGTCAACAGCACTCAGCATCAAAACGAGTATAAGATCCGGATTTTCAACTCCAATGTGAAGTCAGTCAGTGCTACTTGCTATACGGATCAGAGACTTGGCCAGCGCGTCATAAAGAGCATCTCAAACAAACTTCAGACCTTCATTAACAGTTGTCTTCGCTCAATACCACTCAAGATCAGATTGCTGGCCAGAAAAGATCAGCATCAGGGATCTCTGGAAATGAGCGAACCAACACAGCAGGAACCGATTGTGAAACAAATGGGCAGGAAGAAATGAAGCTGGATTTGATTGGCCATACGCTGAGGAAACCATCTAGTGACATCACTAGACAAGCCATCGCTCGAGTGGAACCCGAAAGGGAAGCGGTGAGTTGGTCGTCAGTGTGAGGGTGACTTGGAGGAGGTCATGTGAAGAAGAGATGAAAGCATGTGGACAGACCTGGAGCGGAGTGAAAAAGTTGGCAGAAAACCGAAGGCGATGGAGACGCGCAACTGAAGCCCTATGTTCCTCTAGTAATGAAAGGATATAATAATAATAATGTTTTCTCTGTGAATATTGTTTAACTCTTTAGTTATTTGATAAACCGTAAGGTTTACTGTCGGTGTTTATATATATATATATATTCCATTTTATGCCTGTCCTATTTACCCTATCGATTTTACAGAATTCACTCCATGTATATTTTTGCTAGTCATAACAATTCAAACAAGTATGGACGTGTCTGACTATGTAAATTTTGGCAGTTTTGATCTAATCATTATATTTATCTGTAGTTATATTTATATTCAGTGAATGTTAACATACAAATTTATCACAGTATGATAAAAGTGGTATATATATATATATATATATATATATATATATATATATTTGATTTTTATAAATGCATATATGCATACAACATATTTTATAACTTACAGATACTTCAGATTCGCGTATCTACAAGTGCATGTAGTTTCGACAATTAAAGTTTTTCATCTAGGAGAAGTATTTTTACCAGTGAACAAATCTTTTGTTTCCTTTTATTTGTTTTTCTTCATTCACTGTCTATTTCTCCGCTTGCTCCGCTGTGTGGCATATATTGTCTTTCTCTATCTTCCTCTTCCCTCTATGTTTATGGGAATATTTTTTAGTGCTTTCAGAAGTAGAGTACTGTATGTGGCTAGTGAATAGAATTAAGCAGAAGAAAATTTTTCTGTATGAGTCATTCACCGTGGATTACAATTGTAAGGTTTACAATGTATAATAAATTACTGTAGTGTTAACTTACGTTTCTGTTCTTTAAAATGCTATTGAAGTAGAACGCTCCCATATATATATATATATATATATATATATATATATATATATATATAATACTGTAACCAATACTATAATCTCGTTCTCATATACAGTATTGTTAACTGTAAATTTTCAACAGTTGTTTTGTAGAGATTTGATTTTCAAGTTTGACCGCGGATTGATATCACTTGGAGAACTATTGAAAACCAGGGAGTACTGGACTGTTTCACCCTAGTTTAGGACTCATTGGCAGTACACACCCACCGGGTTTCTAACCCAAGTGCTTCTGGTTACAAGGCAAGCTTGTAGACCATTCAGCTACGAGATCCGACCATGAATTGTAACTGTAAATTCCCAAGTGTATCTCCTGAGTTATACTTTTTATTTACTGAGCATCCTGCTCATTGCGTATGACTATCCACTTTGATTTTGATTGTATATAACTTTCTTATGTTGATGACTTCAAATTTCCGATAATTAATTATCTATAAAACACAAAATAATCGAGCAAAGAATATTCTTTTCGATAAATTCCTCTTCTGGCTCTACAATTATATACATGTTTATATACACAGAATATTCAAGGTTGGTAGTTAATAACAATAATAAGTGTGAATATTCTGTGTATATAAACATGTATATAATTGTAGAGCCAGAATAGGAATTTATCGAAAAGAATATTCTTTGCTCGATTATTTTGTGTTTTATAGATTTCTGAATGAATATTTTTGCTAAATTAATTATCTTATTAAATTCGTATAAATCTAAATGTAATAAGTTATTTGTCCGTCGCAAAAGCGAGCTTAGTAGTGTATAAAAAAGTGTCATGAATAAATTACATTGACCATTGATAAAATAATAGGCGTTTTATCCGATCTATTTCGTGTATTCTGTAGTTGAGGTCAGTTCTCTTGTGTTTTTTGTCGCTTATTCTTTTCTTTTCAGTTTCTTGTTTCTTCTTCCGACCGGTTTATTGATTAAGCATGAAGTGCTTTTAATTCACCAGTAGAAGGTTAGGAGTCATCACGTTAGCAAACTCACCCCATAAAAACAACACTATTTATAATGAAACTTCAAAGCTCTGGCTTGAAGCCCTATGTTCTATTTATAAATAATTATAAAATTAACTAGATGAACATACTTAAACATATAAAACCTCCATCGTACAGGATCCCGAGCATCCACATTCATATCAGAGAAGAAATATCGACGTTTCAACAGGAGGACTTCTTTCTCATCTACACCTTGTTGCCTTAAACTCTGAGATGGATTCAACCATTCCACTAAAATAAATTTTTTTTCAAATACAAGAAAGAAAAGAAAAGAAAGTTAACCATGTGAATAGAAAAGCGAGAAGTGAGCAACACAAATAGAAAAGGAAGCGAAAATCAGTGACAATTAATACTCACTTAAAAAATAGAATGCAAAAGTGACCATTCAATTGATGAACCTATCTGTTTTAAATTAACAATACAACGCAGTCAATTCCAGATGCCTTTCACCCCAGAGTGGAAGTATGTAAATAATATTTAAGGCTTCTCGTTTAATTAGTGTGTTTATTCAGTTAATCTTGACGTTAGATCCCATATCCACGTAGGCAACACTGATAATTTTACTTTATATATTTGAATTATTCTATTATTTCAATAAGGCAACTATCGTTGTCATCATAATCTTTGTCTTAGGCGTGATATCTGTCTATCTATTAGGAGACTTGTTTCAGTAGATATCTCCATCCTTCTTTACTTCTGCAAAACATGTCCATCGGAAGTGGAGGATATGAGGTACCTACTTGTTTTTGACCACACATGTCTATGACCACCTATCTCTCGTTTTATTTAGCAGAATGTGGTCAATAATAATGAGGTTAGGGGTAGAGTGAGTGCAGTGTCAGGAGGGAAAGTCAATCAATGAGATTCTGAGGCTTAATGGATTGAGAAGACGAGAACACGTGCGTTACGCCTTCCAACCGATTATTTTCCTCGTCGAAAAATGTTAGCTGATATAGAGTAAGCTTGGTAAAAGGTAAAGGGTTGTGAAAGCAAAACGTGGCACCAATTAGTGAAGTGTTCGATTGTTGATTTCAGCGGCTTAGGGGACTGTAGATTGCATGGTGGGGATGTTCGAGATACGAAGAATCGATGGTCTGAGAGTGTTGGCAATGTGGCCTAAATTGTTCTTTCATCTGTGTGACTTCGCAGGTCCATTGAATCCTCACTATTCTCCGTGTAATTATTCTTTCTCGTGTATATTCATGTTTATTGTAACTTGTTCTTACTTTTTGTCTTCATCTTTATGTGTGATTTATGAAGTATGGCAAGTTGAAATCTCATACTTTTGTGGTTTTTTGGTCTTGAATAGAGGTATCTTGGTAATATAGTCTTATTCATTCGTCTTTATTGTGTTCTCATCATATATTCCCGTTCATATGTTAAATGTATCGTTATTTTCTTGCATTTTCTTCAGCCTAGTATCCTAATTAGTTACAGAAGAGTCTTAAGTGTTGAATAGATTTCATCTAACCGGTTAAGAACTTGTCCATCAAACTATGAATGTTCAGTGTTGGTGCACTTTTTATGTTTGGTTATTTTTGCTAATCATTCAACAGTAACTCATGTCACTTCCCATGTACCTTTGAATCATACGGGCTGCTCACTAAATGGGGATTTGTGTCAGAATAATTAAGATTGGATGAATGCTGAACACAATACTCAGTCTTTTTAAACATATTTTCAATATACAGTGCATTACTTTTTGACTTTACAGTTTCTCTGTGATGCACTAGTCATTGAGAAAACGTTCGTCAATCTGATCGAATTACTGAATCTAACAATTCTGTCTAACACTGCAGTCGGCTATGAATTTATCACATAATACTTCCCACTCTTAGAAGAAAAGCAAATAACTATCGGCTGTTTGAGAATTCTTAACGATGCATTCAAGTGACACCAGCCTTTTTTTTTTAATAAAACGTGTACGACTACAACACTGAATGTTTCAGGTTCCAACTTCGTGTAGGAAAAGAATCAATTTTGTCAAGTCTGCAAATACGACTTGCTAACGAATGAAAAATGGACCGAAGCTTTTTAATAAATCCTTTCTTTCACTTAGTGCTAAGCAGACAAATGTTGATTCATTTGTAAATTTTTTCTACAGAATAGTTGACTATTAGCATATCAAAGTTTCTCCGGTGAGAATCTTTTATAACAAATCTTAGTAAAACTTATTATCAATTGTTTATGCATCTTATGCATCGTATCGAATCTTTGTGTTCATGCATTTTTATCCATTAATATTTCAGCCAAAGATTATGGCTTATTCCTTCCTCATGAAGATAATAAGAAAGGTCTATGGTTAGACAATGCCCGTACTTTGGAGCATTATATTCTACGGAATGGGGTGAGTCTAGTTATTTTGCTTTTCTTAACAGTTTTTTTTCTTTGTTTATACTATTTTATTTTGTGATTTCAGGACATCAGTATTAACTGCGTATTACATCTTATCAATTAATTGTACTGACATCATTTTTATGCATCTTAATTCCTGATTGTTTTTTTCTGCAAATTACCTAAGTTTCTCGTTTGCCATGGTTCACTAACTGAGTGGTTTCTTCATTGCGTTATATAAATGGTTTCAAGTTTGGGTTTGCAAGGATTAGAGTGATTTCAAGTCAGATCACGAGCTGAAATCATTGAGAGAACCACTAACAACATTCAGGGAGTAACTCCACTATGGATAAGATTTTATTTTGATAAATCACACAGTGTTGTACAGTAATATTAACTGATGACGTTTTGAGCACAAACTATTGCCACTCATAATCATATCAAGTTACTCACACAACTTTTTTCCTTCATTTATATACATTTGTGGAATCGATTAGATAATGGGATAAAAATCAATATGAGATAATGTATATTCAGAAATAATAGTATGAGTGTTATTGATCAATTACAAGTTTTATACTTATATCAACATCTAGGGAGTAGTGAACAGTTGTTTCAATTCCCGATGAGTTGCAGCCGCACACTGCTGAAGAGTCTCAAAAGTGGAACGAAACAGTTCATTGTCAAGTTCCTTTGAATGACGTCAGCTCGTGGCCCGACTTCAAATCAATCATATCCTTATTTGTTCATCTTTGCACTATTAACCACCCAACCTGGTCTTATTCTCTTTCTTTAGGTTGAGGTAAATTAATAAGACGCAACTTTTGATAAATTGATTGAGATAGCTTTAGTTAATTGGCGGTTAAGCGCGTAAAGTAAGAAGTTTTAAAAGGCTTAACCGTTACTAACTAGAAAATTGTACGAGTAATGGCGGGATTCAAAGCATAGACAATTTAATGGTTTGATCTTTAATAATAGTGAAGAGTGAATAAGTCTGTACTATTAATGCAATCAACACCAAATTATTACCAAGTGTAGAGAAAGATAGGTCGAATCTTCCCATTCTTTAAAGTTACTGTTTTGAATTACTATATTTTTTTTCGTATTTTTCCTTGATTACCGAGAGTGTTACATACAAAAATAAAACTTTGAAGTGGCTTCTTTGGCACATATTTGAATTCTTGAACCTAGAAATGCTAAGAGAAACATCGTGAAAAACCTATACACATATTACCTGAATAATCTATACTTGCATTCGACTGTTAAGGACATGTTTCTACTATCTTGTGGCTTACATATTCAAGTCAAAGGGTGAGAAATACAATTTAAAAAAAAAAAGAAATACACGTAATTCAATTTTTCTCCCCTCAAACAAATTTCATTTTCTCAATGGCCTTGTCTAGCTCAATATGTTTTTCCCCAAACCCATCCAAACTTTAGTGCAGGTTGCAGCACTTGTTAACTTTACGTATATGACACCTATATCTGACACTCCCAATGACAGAGGTTCATAATCTTTTGAAGTTATTTAATTCTGCTAGCTTAATATTTACATTTAATCCCTACTTCTCTGAGAATGGAAATACCATTTCACATGGGCGCCGATTTCTTAGTGATTGAGGCCAAGTGCCTATAGTTCTGTCGTACTTTATATCTCTAATTATGGTTTTTCACGTTTTCATTCCGAGATGAAGTGCACTGTGATACCGTCTTAAAGACTCTTAATAAAAACCTGAATATCCCACTGGCTCTAACAATAGTGAAAAATGACTAACACAATTAATGTAGACAGCCTACTTATCATACTAACTCTTAGATGAAGTGGTTAAACTAACCAACAGTTTCGAACCCAAATATCAGGAAATGCAACTACTGTTAGCCTGAAATATGTGGATATAGTTATAAAAACTGACTAAGAGTGAAAACATCGTCGATTCATCCATTCACATCCTGGACGAAACCCATCAACTAGTTTATTGAGTGTTTTACAAAGCCTGTGGGTTACAACAACAACCAGTATTTTGGAAAGAACTGGTAACAGATTAATACCTTGATTATTATAACACACAATAGGTAGAGCCACTCTAAAGACAGGAATACTGGTGAGGTAATCCCAATTTACCACTTTCTAAATAAGTTTTGTAACTAGTGTCTGACCATCATCTTTAAACTGAACTAGAGATAATTTGTCTGGATCGGGTATATTTAACAACAACCAGCTTTACTCACCATCTTTATAACATCTTGTGAGTGCAGTCAGTGTTCAGCTATACTTCCTGATGAGCCAGTAGTCAATCTCGAGTCTGCCTCTGTTTGATATTCAACTTCATTAGTAGCTGAAACCATCTGGCTTACTTCACCATGCTTAGGAAAATGTTTATGACCACCACCATATCTCTCAAGCAAAGTCAGAATCCAGCAAATTGTTCCAGGGGGAGGACAAGTCCTGCATCTGTACCTGATAGCAATTTGATTCATTTGACTTCAGACTTGAAGGGCAGAGGAAGGACACTAGGCTAGATCAGGTTATTGATGTAGTGAAAGTCGGAGTTGGTCAGAAACAGGATATGACCTGCGTAAGTCTGCTCATTACTGCGGCCGTTATCTAACATGTGACCATCTGGTACCCAGTAGTCACTTAAACGACCCTCCCTGGATCTGCGCATTTAAGTCCTCAACTAGTATTTGGACATCTGATGAGCGTACTTAGTTACTTCTTACTCCCACATTAACTAACTAAACAGTATATAAACTACTGATAATGTGAATCCAGTCAATGTGATATAGCAATTATTTTAGCGTCTAATAAGAAGATGATATCAGCTAGCAGCTAAACTGAAGACTGATCCCACAATATCCCCAGATAAATAAATATGACATTTACTATTTGATCTGACAGATGAAAAAGTTATTATTCGCTGGGATCTTGAAAGTTTCTAACTTTAAGGAGTCTTATCTTTCTTGATTAATCACTTTGACAACATATTCTACCTATCTGTCTATCCTTTCAAGAAGACAGGTTAACATAGTTTAACGTATTGATAATGAATAATGCGTACATTGACGATTATTTGTTGTAATACAATATGACAGATGTTTTCCTATATCAATATAAACTACTTTTATCAATACAAGAGTTTCATAATATTATACAATGAGAGAAGTAAACAAATTTTGTCGATATATTGAATGAATAATTTGTCTTATTATAAAGAGTATATATATATATAGGTTGAAAGAATTTCTAATTTCACTCATTAATGTGATTTGTCTTTTATATGGCGTACAGATTTCTTTTTACTATTATTGTCAAGTTCTTTGTATTGTTAATTAGTAAAAAATTAATAAAGTCAAGGTAAAATATATTTTAAATGACTTTCCATTCTAAGCATACTACTACAGATTTATGTATAACTTCTTTTCTTTTTTCGTATTGGAAGAGGAAAATGAATTATGGATAAAAAAAGTATTAGGCTGTTTATATTATAGTTAACTTGTAAATTTATGCATACGCATATCAAGTGATCTAAGCAATTGATGTTCATTCATACATTTTGCTGCTTCATATCTAGTATACTTGATAGCTCAGTACAGTGTATTTCAACTTATACAGCATTTGTAAGCTCCATATTCAAGCTTATCATGCAATACTATGTATAGGTATACATCTGGCAGTTGATTTTAAGCAATTTGTAAAGAGACTATATCAAACAGACATGTAAGTTTTGTATGTTTAAATCATTAACCTTTAATTCCCCTTGGACTGAACCATAAATTTTAGTTTCTGTTGACATTTTGGCTCCTAGTACTAATGATTTGACCGTTAACATCCTGTTATTTATTAATATTATTGCTCCTTTAGGTTCCTAGTGGAACGTACGACTTACTGAGCATATCTCCACTTTGTCCTATCCTCTGTGGCCATCTTTAGCCCATTGTCTCTTATCTCCTCCTCACACGATCGCCTCCATGTCACCCTCAGACATGGATTCCACCCATTCGGGTTTTACCCGAGCTATGATCTGGTGTCATTCGACGATCTCCCCAGCGTATGTCTGATCCATCTACATTTTCTCTGGAATATTTGTTGAACAATCAGTTCTTGATTAGTTTATTCTCAGAATTCCTTGTTGCTAATTGGTTTCTGGTCATCTGATCTTCAAAATGCAACCAGCGAAGGCAGTTGTTGATAAACGTTTGCAGTGGCCTGTTGGAAGTGCTTTTCGTGATGCGCTGGCCAAGTTTCGGACCCAAGAAAGAATTGACTTCACATTGGTGTTGAAAATCTGCATTTTGTACTTTGTACGGAGTGTAAAAGATTTTCAAACTATTTTCGGATTTACGAAGGTCTGCCTTTCCTTCATGATTCTGGTTTCGGCATCCTCATGCATGTTGTCTGGCTGTAGTTGAAACGATGTTTCGTAGATAACTGAAGAAAGTGACCTCTTTCGAATATCTTCCATTGATAGTGATAAGTACTTGTTGTTAGGTTGGTTGGTTATCTTCACCATTTCTGTCTCCTCTTTGTTCACTTGAAATCTTTGCGGCTTCTCCTACTAACTTGTTGGTTCTCGCCACTATGTATTCGATTTTGTGTGACACTAAACATAAGTCGTCCAGTTGGCCTAGATCTTCTAGATTCTTCTTATCGGTCCAACGTGCTCTTGTCTTCTCCCTCCCCACAGTCTGACGCATAATCCAGTACACCACAATTAGGGATATCCCCTGTGATAGTAGACAGCCTTGTCTTACTCCTGTATTCACTTCAAAGGCTTCGCTCCGTTGAGGATCACTTGATATATGACATCATCATATGGCTGTTGAATGAGGTCGATTTAGATTTGGAACACTTCGTAATGTTGAAGTAGTTTCCGAAATTTTCCGCAGCCAACTCTGTCGAAGACCTTATCGAAGTCAATGAAGTTAGACGAGGTAGAGATTTGACTGACACTCTGTGTTTTGTTGGATAATGATGCTTACAGATGCAATTTGATCTTTAAATGATTTGCTTTC